TGGAGGGACTCAGCCAGTGGCGTTGACTGGTCACTACGACCCTTCCTACGCTGACGACGTGGAGACTCAGCGTTCGACTCAGGGTTACTGCTTCAGTCTGGGAGCTGGTGCTGTGTCGTGGAGGTCTACACGGTCGTCGTCTGTGGCTACTTCCAGTGCAGAGGCAGAGATCTACGCTGGTGCCATGGCGGCACAGGAGCTTCGCTGGTTGACCTTCTTGCTCGCCGACCTTGGTGAGCGGCCTCGCTCTGCACCGACCTTGTACGCTGACAACAAGGCCATGATCCTCCTGTGTCGAGAGCCTCGACTGGAGAGCAGAGTGAAGCATATTGACGTGAGGTACTTCCTCCTGCGAGAGTTGCAGCGACGCGGCCAGGCACGCTTGGACTTTGTGGCCTCACAGGCCAACACTGCCGACGTCTTCACCAAGGCCTTGGCGCCTGGTGACCACCACAGGTTCTGTGTGCAGTTGGGGCTTGTTGAGGTAGGCCCTCGGTTGCTGTAGACTTGCTGTTTGCTCTACTTGTTGTGCTTCTATATATATACTAGTAAACTCTTGAACTGGCCTTGTGGCCACTTGCTTGTGCTCAGAGTGTGTGGTGACTCTGAGCGCCACCCTGAGCTTTGTTTTTTATGCTTGTTCTTGACTGGTCTTGTGACCCTTTGTTTCCGTTGGTTGTTTTGATGCCCCTCACTTAGCCTATGGGGGTGTGTCAAATGTTTATATATTCTATATATTGTTAGATAGGCTACAGTGAGTTGCCCTCTAAAGGGTACAACACTTTAGGTCGACATTTGTATCTCCTTGTCTCTCCTTACTCAATCATCACTCTCGACACTTGTCTCCTAGCCTATTTTAAGACCCTGGGTAATATCCTCCATGTAGCCTAAACCATGCCCATGACTGTTCTCATGCTCATGCTCATGCGCATGACCATGGTGGTGGTGGTGTACACTTCCCCCCTTGACCTTTCCTGCACCAGCAACAGCAGCAGGCCTGCTTCTGTGCTCCTTGCCACCACCCTTTCCTGCAGGCAGTGGAGGCTGGGCAGCTACGAACCTCGCAATCGCCTCGGCTATGTCCCCTGGATGGTCCTCCTGGTTGGGGTGGAAGGACGGAGAGTGAAGGGAGGTGAGAATGATGTGCTGTGCTGTGCATGTGGTCAGTATCAATGCTGTCAAGGGGTAGAGATCTACAGACTCAAATAGAGTGAGACCTCAAGCACACACCCCGATTCTACGTCAGAGGTGACCTATAAAATCACTGCAAGCACACATCTTAGGCACCTCATAAACAAGGTGCAAGCACGCACCTGGGGCCAGCGCTTGCCGTCATGCAGGTGGAAGTCTGCCAGAGGCCAGTGCGACCGAACCTCCTCGCCCTGCTCTTCCGCCTCCCTGGACCAAAGCAGCTGCCTCGGCACCCGACCCAGCGCCCTCTCTGCATGCCGCTGCACCGTCCGCGCCATGTCATGCGTCAGATTGCCATGCTGGCGCGCCAGCATGGCAGCGTGGATGCCCCCATGCGCCTGCAGCAGGTACGCGTGGGCCCGCGCCACGTCATCGGCCACACGAGCGCTGACGCAGCACGAGGCAAGGAGGGCAGCAACGGGGAAGACAGAGCGGGCAGCGAGGGCAGTGAGGTGGGGGTAGCGGAGGAGCCAGGCGGGGGGGAAGGCGGGAGCAAAGGGGTCTTCCATGGGTGTGTCAATGAGTGTTATGCTTCTCACTCGTTGCACGTTGTCCGCTGCCCACAACGTGCCGACCACACCGCCCGTATCATGCAGCACCAGGTGCACCGGCTCGGCAATCCCAAGGGCCTCTAGCACCCTGTCCAGGATCCGCGCGAGCTGGTGCGCAGGGTACACTGCTGCTACACCCTCTTCTTCTGAGGTTAATTTGGTGGATAGACCTGACCCTGGGAGGTCAAGGGCGAGTGCTCTGAGCCCCCGGTCAGCGAGGAGAGTGATGACGTCACGGTACAGGAACGAGCTGCCACCCAGCCCATGCAGCAGCACCACCACTTCCTTACTCCGCCCCTCCCCCGCCTGCCCCCCACCGCTCCCGCCACCTCCGCCGTCAGCGCCCCATCTCCTCCCGCGGCCTGTCCCCCACCCCTCCGCGCGCACGAAGACCTCTATTTCCCCCTGCTGCCCGTGACCACCCGCCCCGCCCGCCACGGCGCCCGGCGCGGCGACTTTGATGGTCTGGCCGCGGTCCAGGTGCGCGCGCACGAGCGGCGGGATGGAGATGAAGTCGCGCCGCCCCGCGTCCTCCAGGAACAGAAACTGCGCCAGGAGAAATATCCCCGCTATAAGCCCCGTGAGGGTGATGAAAACGAGCCAGAAGACGAACACCCCCAGGGGCTGCTGGCGCGGCTTCGTCTGCGGTGCAGCGGGGGGCTCCACCGCCTTAGGTGAGGATTCAGCCGCAGTCTCCTTGCCTTGCGCGTCAGGCGTGCCTTGCGCTCCTGGCTCATCCTTTGCCCTGCAGGCACTCGCTGCCGCTGTAGTTGCCTCCCCTGCTTCTTCTGCTGCTCCTGCTGCTAAGACTTCCCCTTCCGCTGTTTGTTCTCGCCTTTCCCCAGCCACCTCCACGCCGCTCTGCTCGTCCTCCGCTCCCTCCGCTGCAGTTTCCGACGCTTGCGCGTCCCCGCATTCGCTGGCACCGCCCGCCTCATCGCCTGCATCTTCTCCCGCGGTCGCCTCGGCTGCTGGCTGCGAATCCTCCCCAGATCCAGTATCGTCAGTCACCGCGCTCGGCGCGCTATTTACTGCTCCGCGTTCCGCCGTTTCGCGACTGTCCCGCGGGGAGTCCGCTTCCGCTGCTGCCCCCCCTACCTCGCTTCCGCCTTCCCCTTTCCCCCGCCTCCTCCGCAGCGTCGACCCCTCGCCGCCGGCCGTTTCACTCGTGCCGTCACTGGACGCGTCGTGCCGGCCGCCGTCTGTTTCCGCAACAGCTGACGGCGACGGCGAATCCGGTGACGGCTTGTCGTCAGTGTCGGGTGAGAGCGCGGGATTTGCAGCATTTGACGACTCGCCAGCTTTCTTCCTGCCTCTTTTAAACAGCGACATCGCGATCGTGCCGGCGCCGACTGCGGCCCACGCGATGGGCAGAGCCATGGCTGAGGCTCGTTCGACGACACGCGAAGAGACTGGCGACGAGCCGCGCTAGTATCAGCACGCGGGCGGTGTCACTGATCTAATGGTATAGCGTGGTGCTACGGTGTGATGGCAGCGATGCTCGTTGTTGTGAAAGGATCTGAACTGAAGTTGTCGTGAGCGGCAGAGAATAGTTGGGCGGGATGAGGTGGTGGGGAGGTTCGGCTGACGCAGATCCCAAGAATATGGGATCTTGGTGCAGTTCAGAACACCACGATATACAGTGTAATTATCAGGACATACAAACGTCTTTCACATCACTGAGGGTAAATGCACATTACATACACACAAGGCATAACATAACTAGATGAGGCAAGCAACGCAGGCTGCCCCACAAGCCTTGGGGCGAGCGCCGACCCCAAGTTTGCAACTGGAAGGTAATAATCACTAGCACCCGTTGCAACTGTTTCACGACAAACTCATGGTTATTAGTCAACTGCGCGTGTCTGGGCATTGCGGATGATTTGAAAGAGAGCTGCAGGGGAACGGGAAGTAGGAGCAACGAGAGGTGAGATGAATACGGGATAGAGCACAGAGGAATTGTGGCATGGAGGAGGGAAGCGGGCTGGGAAGCTGATGAGTCAAGATAGAAAAGAAGGCAAGGCATGGGAGGTAAGGAGCAGACGCGAAGGAGCCGAACTGCGAAGCAGCAACAACGGATACAACACAGAACAGGAGGATGGCTGCATCGTGCTGGCGAAGCTAGTACTCGTCAAATCTCCGGAAAATGCACGACACAATCCGTGCAAGTGCAACCCATACCGTACAAGAATCAGTCCGTGCAAGGCGTACAAGGCGCAGTTCATGCAAGGCATACCGGAGCCGACGACAACGAAGACGAAGAAGATGATGACGATGGTGCTGACGGGGTACTTGTCGCCCTTCTTCGCCACTGTCTCCGGCACGCTCCCTCGCCGCGCGATGTTGCCCTGAAATCGCGCGCTCTTGCGCTCCACCACGCGCTTCGACGTCGTCTGGCACGCTCGCGACGAGCGGACGGGGGGGCGAGAAGGAAAGGAGAGTGGAAAAACGAGAGAGGCGAAGGAGAGATGACAGAGGAGAAAGGCAATGGGCGACGAGGGAAGATGACGGAAGAACAAAGTGCGGAGAGCGTGAGAGCGGTCGCATGAAAACTTACCCGGTTCAGACGAGAAACATGGAGGCCAAGGAGCCGAAACACATTAAGAGAGCGACCAACGACGACAAACGACCTACGACTGCAAGCGACCTACGATAAGTACAAGCACCAGGCAAACAAGGTGAGGACTACGAACCATGGCTGCGTCAAAATTCAGTATTTACGGTAAGCTGAGCACCGAGCGAGGTCGCCGACCAAAGCGGAAGTGCAAGTGCGTCAGTCGAAGGAAGCAAGAAAGTGGAACTGCATTGCTCGCGTTGCGGCTGTCGCACAACCTAAAGAATCCGCTGCTCGTGGAAAGGGTTGCACTCGAATTCGCCCGTCCATCAGGAAAGCACGAAACGAAATGTTGCACATATGGTAGAAAGGGGATTCTTTGCGAATGCTAAATTTCTTACTAAGAATTGTGCAGAACAATGACTCAGCCTAGAGGTTCTACACAGCCTAGGAGCTACACAGCCATAGATAGCTTGAAGATTGTACTAGTTCCTCATCCGTATCTGACTTATGACAGTACAATAGTCACATAAGTATCAGCCACACTACTCTACTACACCAACTGCAGTAAAAGGTAAGGGGGCTTAGGGTTCAACCCCCTTCTCTAACTTCTGGCTTTCAGAAGCCTTCACCTGGGGTTTCAACATCCCTCCCCTGCCATGCTCTCCCCTCTTGTGGGGACTCACCCTCCAACCGCAGCACCATCACCATTTCCCACCACTCTCCACCACCACTCCCCACCACTCCCCACCACTCCCCACCACTCTCCACCACCACTTACAACCACCCTCCACCACCAGTTCCAACCACTCTCCACCACCACTTCCAACCACTCTCCACCACCACTTCCAACCACTCTCCACCACCACTCCAGAGTGGGGCTGAGGAGCGACCCCAAGACCTGAACCCTCACCGACGTGGCAAGAGGGGAGCCACACCAGACCCCCGGCCGCAGGGTCTGGTGATCGTCCATTATGCCTTAAACGTGCGGCTATTGGAATTCAGACTCAAGGCCTCCCCCCAACCACCACCCTCCACCACCAACCACCACCAACCACCACCAGCCACCACAGCCACCGCCACCACCAACCACCACCAACACCAGCACCAACACCAACCACCAACACCACCGCCAACCACCAGCACCAGTGACCACCACAGTGGATGAACCTGCCAAGGGGTGCAGAGAAAACGATTAGTAGCTGACCTTTGAAGAGCATTCACAAGAGTGAGTACAGAAGTGCTGAAAAATAGCGAGTGCAGCAGTGCAAAGAGCAAGGACGGCAGCAAAAACGAAGGGTCAAGGAGAAGGGCCAGTTGGGTACTTAACTGCGTCGAGTTAAGGTACTGATGGGTGCAGTGCAGCAGCTGCGCCCCTCCCCACACGCCTCTGCTCCCACTGGCACCCTGGGGGGGGGAAGGGATGGGGGTTGGAGGGGGGGAGTGAGTGAGTGGGGAGTGCGGATGCAGATCCAAACGAGTGGAGCATGCCTGCACGGCCTAGGCTGCTGTAGCACCCAAGGAAAGGGGGAGGGGACCTGAATCTCACCATACCGTACCAAGGGACCTGGATAAAGGTTTGTACCTGTACCTGGGACACCTGATGACCTACACCTTGAAATACCAGGGGGGGGGCTTGGGTGTGTCACAGGCAGCTAGAGCGATGAGGAAGGCAAAGAATAAACGAGACAAGCATGCAAAACGACAAAGACAAGCGGGAAAACGGTCAAAGGCAGAGGGAGAGAGGCTGGTGAAGCGGTACTTATCTGTTGGTCGCTCTGTGGCGGATGCTTGGTGGGGAGTCCAAGGAGACCCGCTGAACCTCTGCTGCTGCCTCCGCGCCCCACGTCCCCTTGACGAGCGTTCGCCAGGCAAAGCGACGGCCGTTTGTTGACGCCAGCAGGGCTCTGAGATGGTCAAGGGGCGGAGCGGGGGTGAGGGGGGAATGGTGGGGGGGGAGGGGAGGGAATTGAGTGCGAAAGCATGGCAAGCATGGCTGCTCAAGCACACCCGAGCGGAGGGGAGGGGACCTTTACCTTACCACGCCAGGGGAATAAAAGTTTTGCACCAAGGGGAGGGGGTACCTGACAGTCTTAACCTTAACAAAATGGGGGGCTTGGGTGTGCTATGGGGCATGCGAAACGAGCGGGAAGGGCTGGCGGAGTGATACTCATCTGTTGGTCGCTGTGCGCTGGTGGCTGAGGGAGAGCCAAGTCGCCCCGCTGCTGCCTCCCACGCGCGTCCCCACAGCAGCTCCCCTTGTGCGCCTCCCCGCGACGCCCGCCGAAGGCATGTTCCTTGACGCCAGGCGCGAGGCTGCGGGATAGGGAGGCAGGAAAGGCGAAGAGGGGGAAGGATGTGTGATGAGAAGGGAGTCCGCGGAAGAGGAGGGGGAGTGCGGAGGACGCGCATGCAAGCAAGGAGCACTCGCGCAGCACAAGGGGAAGGATGAACAGCTGCTGTAGCACACTCAAGGGGGGTTGGTGGGGGGGATACCTGTACCTTACCTTACCAAGGATAAGTTTTGTACGTACCTTACCTTACCTTACCTGACCTTAGTCTGTACCTTTAAAAAAAGGGGGGGCTTGAGTGTGCTACAGGCAGCTACAGCGACACATGCAAAACGATGGAGCGAAATCAAAGCAAGCGAATGACAAACGCGAAAATGGTCTCAGGCATGGGCACGAAAACACTTATCTTCCTGACGAGCAGCGCGTTGACTCGCGGATGCAACGCGTTGACTCGCGGATGCAGCGCGTTGACTCGCGGATGCAGCGCATTGACTCGCGGATGCAGCGCGTTGACTCGCGGATGCAGCGCGTTGACTCGCGGATGCAGTGCGTTGACTCGCGGATGCAGCGCGTTGATTCGCGGCAGCGTTGAAGCGAGCAGAGAGCAGCAATGAGTGCAGCGCGAAGCACCTCCTGGAGCAACGGGGAGGAAGAGCAGAGTACAAATGAGTGAAGAGGCATGCGGAAGAGAAGAAGGGAAGCAGCACAGACGAAACGGACGGAGATGCATGCATGCTGCTGTAGCACACTCAAGAGGGGTTAAGGGGAGGGGACCTGTACCTTATCGTACCAAGGGAAGGATAAAAATAATAAGGGACACCTGATAGTCTTACCTTAAAATAAAAGGGGGGGGTTGAGTGTGCAACAGGCAGCTAGAGCGAGGACAAAACGCATTCACAATACAAGACGAAATCAAAGCAGGAATACTCATCTTTTTTCGGGTAGCAAGTTGACTCGCGGAAGCAGATCGTTGACCCGCGGAAGCAGATCGTTGACCCGCGGAAGCAGCGCGCTGCGTTGTCGAAGTGTTGAAGCGAGCGGAAAGCGGAGAGCTGCGATGAGTTCCAACGCGAAGCGCCTCCTGGAGCAACGGGGAGGAAGAGCGGAGCACAAATGAGTGAAGGGAAGCAGCACATGCATGGAAAGGGACGACGACGCAAAGCAGAGGCTGATGTACGACACGCAGGTGAGTCTGAACCGTACCAAGGCCGAACCTGTACCAAGTCTGACCTGATTCTCACCTCACCTGAACCGGGGAACACCTGTACCACCTACACCTGAAACCTGAACCGGGGGGGAATGGGTGTGCTACAGAGCATCGCGAGCATGCGAGCAACGAGAGATCGACGGCGACCAGCCGGTGGTACTCATCATTAATTGTCGGATCGAAGCCGCACGCGACGCTGACGCGCGCTAACTCCACGCCGACGACGTTGACTGCGGGACGCGTCGCGGATCTTGGCGTGTTTGTCGTTGCAGCGTTGACTGGAGGCGTGTTGAAGTTGCTCGTTGCACGTCTTGAGTCTCTCTTCGCGTTCTGCCGAGGATCTCGAGTCGTCTTGTACACTCGGTTCCTGCGCGGGTAGAAAACATTTGTCAGAATAATGGTCGCCGCGCAGAAAGCAAAGAAAACAATGCAAAAACAGGAAACATGCGCGTCACAACGATATTTTGAAAACTTACACAATGCGTTGCTGCAAATGAAAATAGGCTGAGCTTTCGCCGTCTCAAAGCAGTCAGCTCGGCGGCGACATGGCTCCACTAGTTCATAGCTCGGCGCAAGGTCAGCAACGTTGCTCCAAGGCGGTTGAGATGTTGCAGCGGTTGGCCCATCGATCGAACGGACTGACGGTTGAATGTATCGTTTGAACGCAATGCCGAAATGAGGAAGACTAGGAGAATATCAGGAGGCGAGAACGAGGCGAATTGGTTGGGAAATGGTGAATTGGGAAATTGACGGGTGAACGGAGGGGCACGGATTGGGGCTGAATGGGAGGTGAGTGGGGTAAGAACCGAGCAGCGAATGGGGCCAAAGGGAGTGCGCGTTGGTGGTGAAACATGAAAGAGCTAAGCCTGTTGGCGCCAAGGTGAGGCAGAACCGTTGGGCTAACGAATAGGCAAAAAATCAGATGAAAACGCCACATGATTCGCTGAAAGTGGGGACCGCAGTGGCCGAAGCGCTAGTTGCGAAAATGAGGTTCCCGCAACCCGCGCCTTCGCCGCCGGGAGGATAACGTTTGGCCACACGCGCTGGCATGGATCTGAGCACCAGTCTCAGGGACCACCAAACCCTAGCTTCAGCCTGAAAGTGAGGAAAGAGATCAACCTCCAGCAGCTGCTGTCAGGTAATTTGGGCCGCTTCAAGCAACTCAGGATTTGTGTTGAGGGGGTGATTTCAAAAGAGGTTTCCCCTGCAACATGAATATTTTCGAGTCTTTCGTCCCAAGTTCCATGCAACAAAAGTCTCCGTATTAGTATGGACTGCCCAGAGTTCTGCCTGTGCTGGCCATCAGTGAAATTTCCGCCAGTTTTTCGCGAAGTCGTATCTGTTCTGGGCAGTCTTTCCTTTATGTGCAGACTCTTGCGTCCAGCCAACGCAGAACAGATTTTGAAGAGATGCAGAATGACCTACTCACCAGAAGTCGATCCATTACTGTAAAACACGCTGAAGGATAAATATTGTGAATCTGATTACGTGTTTCAGAACCACATAAGTGCATCCACCTTGGAACAAGTCAAATTGTTTACTGCACAGATACCTTATGAAATGCAGTGCTTATCACAAATAAATGTTAGTATTCGTTCTTACGAGATACTCTTACCGTAACTATAAAACAAAGCTGCACCCGTGGATCACACAAACATGCCCCTTTTTACCATGAAAGGCCAGACGTGAACCCGTCACAGTGTCCTAGCGATGGTGGTGAACTTCAGATATTCAAAACGAGGGTTTTTATCGACAGTCGGGTGAGATCATCTACACCATATCTCCAACTATTCCATATGCATTCAGTGAAGAGAGCAGCATGTAGACAATCCAGAGCAGCATGAAGGCAAAGCAAGAGAGCCAAGCGAGAGGCCTGGGCCCTCCAAGCTCTCCTCCGAGCATGATTCTCCGAAGGAATAAGATCGCCATGCACACGGCAGTTGTTAAGAAAAAAACAATGATGGAGAAACCGAGGCCAGCCGTGCTCACATTGTTTGCTGATCCCAACACAAACTCATTGTAGAGAGTGGTGATGAGCCATGGAATACCCATTCCAGAGAAAACAATAATGCAATTGCTGCCAGGCATAGAGGAAAGCTCAGGTAAAGCGGTGCGTTCAAATAGCAGAAGATAACAAGCCTTGGCTAACCTCTGTGGCAATCCACACTCGAATCACCACATTAAGCATTGAGACTGGCATGACAAGCAGCAGCAGTGGGAGAGCGCTGACCTGGCATTGATGTTGGCGATGGCGGAGTCAGCAGTGGGCAGGTGGTCTGCTGCCACCACACTGGCTATGAGGTCCGGGATGGATGTGCCCGTCGCCAGCAGCGTTATGGATACCACGAACGAGTTCACCCCTGGCAGGGGGGGTGGAGGGAGGAAAAACATGTACATGGGTTCAGGAGCGACAGGCGGCAGCTCTTTGTCTTGTGGGCACGCAGAATGAATTCATGTTCATAACTCCTGTGTAACCTCATGTATAACTCCTACCACACCTGTGACGCAGCCGAAGAGCGAGGCGAGCTCGACAACGAGGGCAGCGATGAGGGTGATGACGAGGATGCTGGTGATGAAGGCGGGGTAGCCGTGCAGCGCGTCAGGCGGGGGGATGAGCACCGCACACAGCGCCTTCCACAAGAAGCACACCGCCTGCACCACCACCCGCCGCACCCTCGCTGCCACTGGCTGGGCTTTACGGGCTGCTGGTTGCTCATGTGAGGGGTGCATGCTGCCTTGTGCTGTGAGATCATTGTAATCCGATGGGTGTAGCTGGTGAGGGAGAGGGGGATAGGATGGGACAGGAAATTGATCGGAAGGAGTGGAGGGCATCGCAGGCAATGGGGAACAAGAGTAGAATAGAACATGGTAATAATTAGTACAGTGGTGACCTTATCATTATTGAAGCTGTACAGGGGGGCTGATGATGGCTATGCAAGTGGGGGCCATGGCAAAAATACCCATGGAGACATCAGGGACATGAACAACATGCCATTACAATACCTATCACATACACGCATGTGAGCATACGCAGTCATGTCACCACATGCCCTCGCATCAGCACATGCCATCATGTCAGCACATGCCGCATGTCAGCACATGCCATCATGTCAGCACATGCCATCATGTCAGCACATGCCATCATGTCAGCACATGCCATCATGTCAGCACCTGCCATCATGTCAGCACATGCCATCATGTCAGCAGATGCCATCATGTCAGCACATGGCATCACGTCAGCACATGCCAACATGTCATAACAGGCATCACGTGGCAACACACCATCATGGAGAGCACGATTTGTTGCCTCCACCGCATGCCAAACGACACGCCCTTTGTCCCACCGCTGCTGCCATCGCTCCCATGTGAATGCCTAGAAGCAATGAGTTGGGCATGGCTGTCTGGCTGAGGGAGCACCTCCACATCCCCCTGCTGAAACGCTTGCCCAGAGCTGCGCCTTCCCCTCCCCACCTCTTCATCCTCCTCCGCATCGTCCCACTCTCTGTCCTCCGCCTGAGACGATAGGCTCTGCCTGCGACTACCTCTCCCCATGCCCCCTTCACCACCACCACCACCACTGCTGCGCCTGCTGCTGCGATCGTGTTCACTGCTCCTCCGCCTCCTCCTGCTCCTGCTTGGAGTGGAAAAATCGCCCAGTGCTGCATGGCCCTCCATAGCAGGACCAGAGGCAACACCTGGAGATAAATCTCCATGCAGGCCAGATACTGCTGCACCGCTGCCTGCAACAACCCTGTCTGCCATACCATTATCTGTAAAGGAAGCACTTCGTACAGTTGCGCTTTCAACACCCTCCTGCATTGCTGAGCTAGCAGCTCCTGCTGTCGCAGCAACGGCTTCGGAGGAAGCAGTGGGAGGTTGGCTGGTGGGTGGTGAGAGCGGCAGGGCTATGAAGGGCCAGCGTTGCTCCTGGGCGTATGCGTGCAGCATGAGCAGCGGCAGCTGCAGCACTGTCATCACCGCCTCTGCTATCGTCACCTCGCCTGGCGTCCACACCTGGACAGGAGGAACACCAGGTGGAAACAACAAGAGACGTGAAAGAGAATTATAAGCAGGATCAGCCTCAATGCTTGGAGAGCTTGAAGGTGGCTCACACGACAGCGAAATCTGATTGCCATTGCCATGCATCTTGACATGGAAACACATGGTGGGTGTGGCACAACAACACAGCCATCCCTGAGACACAGCCTCCTGGGCTCACCTGTAGCACGATGTAGAGCCACACGTAGGCCCAGAGCGACCAGAGGAACTCGACAAGAAAGAGCCCCACGTCTGAAATGCGCTTGACAGTGCCAGCAGGAGGCACGAGCACACACACAGCCAGGATGGGGAAAATGTTGAAGGCTGCGCCGCCTATGATGGTGCCTGCTCCCAGGTCTGGGTGCACACGGGGGAGGGAAAAAGAGGAGTACACGCAAATGAGTCGCAAGAAAGCACAAATTGTGGAAAAAATGCTACACACATGAAAGTACAGGGAATAGATGCACAAAACTAGGCAACAGAAGCCGTCTGGATGACAAGAGATGAGAGTAGAGAAGATGTTTTTACACGTTTGAAGGCATGGACGTTGAAATCTGTGCTTTCTCTCCTGTGAGTCTGTAACTCACACCTCACCATACGACCTGGAACCACGCTCACCCTGTCCGCCGGTCTTGCCCAGCCGCCTGACGGCGTCAATGACTGCGAGGGAGATCTGAGGCGCACACGTGCCCAGCGCCAGCAGCGTGATGTCAGCGATGGCTGGATTCCACATGCGCTGCTCCGACTCCATCCACCTACCAACCACAGGGTCCCTGATGACAAATTGGGTTCAAGGAAAAAGAAAACAAAAGAGAGCACACGATAATGTCAAAGCCCCTCTGTAAAAATATCGACCTTCCATAATTTCTGTTTCACTGTTTTACATGCAGCATGACGTTCTCCAGTGGAAGAATTTGTGCTATCAACAGATTCCGCGTTAGAAAAATATATTCTGCTCATAGCCTTTCGTTGAACTCAGAGTAAAATTGAATTCTTTCTTCCAAACGCACCAGAGTCTGACTTTACGGGTCTGCTGAACGATGTTCTCCATAGCTTCCATGTATTTGCCTGTGATTGTAGCGAGGCCTATGAACAGGTACACCAACGCCAACGTGTAAATCGCCGTTCGTACAGTCACATCCCATGCGTTCTCTGCAGGAATGAGGAGATAACTGCTGCAAGCTGGCTCGTTGGACAGGTAGGTTGGATCGGACGGCCACAAATCCACGACGACGACGCTCGATTGACTTGAAACTGAACACGTCCATATCGAGGATGGAGACAGATTCGATACGAGAGCGGTGCAGACGTTCGTCAGGGGAGGTCGGAAGGAATAACCGGTGGCCGACAGATCGAAGCCAGGCGGAGACGAGGACGATGGGACGCTCGTCATGGCATGAGGAAGGCGCAGCACGCTTCAGAGACTAGACTAACGGGAAGCTCATAGCGATTTCAGAGCATTCAGTGGTGCAAATGACTCTACGACATGGCCCACACCGACTGTCTCGTCTTAAAAAAAAACCACGAGCCGTCTCACAGACTCTTTTGACAAAATTCGTCCTTCGCATGCGTGAGGAGGTATTACTCTACTGTTTTAACGAAATACAGTAGCAGTAGTTTGTGGTCATGACGAGCTGCCAACACGCACTGGTCGCGTCGCAATAAGGAATCATGAATCCAAGAGCTGCCTCAAGCATTCTCCTATTCGCTCATTCATAGGCTTGCTCAAATAACTCCAGTTCCAGCGACAGTGTCAGCCGACATTCCCAATGCCTGACAAGCTTCAGAATCTGATCATACAGTATCACGGGACAGTATGCCAGACGGAAAGGTTGAATTGAAGACATAGCATCCTGCAATCTAACAGGTTCGAGCCTGAAACATTCCCGAAGGCGAACAGGACTTGTAGTGCGAAGAGCAGCACCGCGCGAACAAATTGCACACGGCTTCATGACGACGGGAACTGCAACAGACAAAAACTGACAAAACGAAAGTGCACGAACAAAGAGCGCGTTCAGCAGGATTCGAACCTGCGCGGGCAGAGCCCAACAGATTTCGAGTCTGTCCCGTTAACCACTCCGGCATGAACGCTTGTTATAGGGTCAGACCATAAAATGTGCAACTTGTTTGTCACGTTTGATGGTTCGTCGCTCTCACTAATACAGTCACAGTTCAATCAGCCATGGCGGACGGTTCAGCATCTCCAGCCGATAATGGCGAATCCACGCAGCCCGCTCCCGCTGTCTCGATCCTCGCTCCATACTCAAAAAGGGTCGTGATCAAAACTGTTCTCGGTGCACCAGATGGCGGCTTGTCATTAGTTGGGCAGACGTTAGTGGTGGGAGGATGGGTGAAGACTGGGCGAGAGCAGGGCAAGGGAACTTTCGCCTTCCTAGAGCTCAACGACGGATCGTGCCCCGCCAACCTTCAGGTACCGTCGCACAGTGTCGCACGCAGTCGCAGACCATCGTACACCGTCGCTCGCGGTGTGTTCGTCAAGGACCGGCGATCAGCGAGCAGTGACCGTCGCGTGCTAGCATATTGTGTGATTCGCCAAATCGGGTGATCGCTGACGTGCTCCGTTGCTCGCGCGATCCAATTCAGCAACTGTTTAATCCGGCCGTGTGCTCGCGCAGGTCGACGGGGGTTTTGCATGGAGTGTTCAAGCTCCAGGTTTCTATTGATCGTCCCCCTCTCACACGAGGTCGTGATGCTGACGTGGATCTCTTCGTGGCATCGAGCCGTCTCGTCCTGATCCACCACTGTCCCTTCGCAGGTGATCGTGAAGGCTGAGGTGGCGGCGATTGGGGAGCTGGTGGCGACGGGCACGTGCGTGCGCGTGGAGGGCGAGCTGAAGCGCACGCCTGAGGGGACGAAGCAGCTGGTGGAGGTCCACGTCAGCAAAGTGCTCCACGTGGGTCCGTGCGACGCTGGCGTGTACCCCATCGCCAAGACGAAGCTGTCGCTCGAGTACCTGCGATCCGTCATGCACCTGCGACCGCGCACCAACACGGTATGACGCAATGCTGACGTGGCGAGCTGGGCTATCGGAGAGGAGAAGAAACGGATACCCTTCTGCAACCCCCGTTCGCCACGCTCTCCCCCTCTCATCTTCACGCCGCTTCGCCCCTCCCTCCTCCCATCCATTTCCCGCGCTCCCCCTGTCCTCGCTTCCCCCGCGTTTCCCACCCGTCCCGTCCCCGCGCTCCGCTCTCCCCGCGCAGATCGCGGCGGTGGCGCGGATCCGCAACGCGCTGGCGTTCGCGACGCACAGCTTCTTTCAGAAGCACGGCTTCCTCTACGTGCACACGCCCATCGTCACCACCAACGACTGCGAAGGGGCTGGCGAAATGTTCCACGTTACCACCCTCATCGCCGAAACCGAGCGCCGCGAAAAGGCCCTCTTGGAAAACCCCCCTCCCACGGACGCTGACGTGGCGGCCGCCAAGGACGCCGTGACAGCAGCGGGCGCCGCGGTGAAGGCTCTCAAGGAAGCCAAGGCGAGCAAGGAGGAGATTAAAGCCGGCGTGGCGGAGCTAACGAAGGCCAAGGAGGCGTTAGCTGCCTTAGAGGCACGGGCGAAGATGCGGCCAGGGCTGCCGCGGAAAGGGGAGGACGGCAAGGGGCCCGTGGACTTTGGAACGGACTTCTTTGCTCGGCAGGCGTTCCTGACGGTTTCGGGGCAGCTGCAGGTGGAGACGTACGCGTGTGCGCTGAGCAGCGTGTACACGTTCGGGCCGACTTTCCGTGCGGAGAACTCCCACACAACCCGCCACCTGGCGGAGTTCTGGATGGTCGAGCCCGAGATTGCCTTTGCTGACCTGGAGGTATGTTGCTGAGGTGTCTGTACTTGCAGCAGGTGTAATCCTACGTCTGCATTGCTGGTGTCAAATGTGCTTGTTTTGGGCCTGGCTTGTTTTCCTTCCACTCAGCACAGTCTCTCATGGTTTGATGTGTATGTGCTGCGTGTGTCCTGTCCCAACCAACCACTCCATGCAGGATGACATGAAATGCGCGGAGGACTATGTGCGATTTCTCTGCCAATGGCTGTTGGACAACTGTCACGATGACATGCAGTTCATGACCAAGATGTTTGACAAGACCGCTCTGGACCGCCTCGCACACGTGGCATCGTCGCCCTTCGCCCGCGTGACGTACACCGAGGCGATCGAGCTGCTGCAAGAGGCGATCAAGAAAGGGAAGAAGTTTGAGAATGCGGTGGAGTGGGGCATCGACCTTGCGAGTGAGCATGAGAGGTGAGACAGAAGGAGAAAGGGGGTTTGCCATGAATAAGGGGGAGGAGGGAGGTGGGTACTACAGCTTAAGGCTGATTTGCAGCAATGTTGTTGTTGGCAGTCACTCTAAGTTCCATATTGTTTTGTATTACCATGGCACATGTTGGCATTGCATGGGCATGGTATGGTATGGCATGGTGTGGCAGGTACCTCGCGGAGACGCATTTCAAGACGCCAGTGATAGTGTACAACTACCCCAAGGAGATCAAGGCGTTCTACATGCGGCTCAATGATGATGGCAAGACTGTGGCAGCCATGGATGTGCTGGTGCCTGGGGTAAGCCATGCTCACTTTAGGGAGAGAAGCTGGTCGGTGGGCTTGCTGCAATACCCTGGCATGCATGGACACATAAGTTCGATTTTTTTGAAATCTGATGTGACCCATTCAATGCCTTTTGACAACGTGCTTGTCTGTGCAGGTGGGGGAGTTGATAGGAGGGAGTCAACGGGAGGAGCGCTATGACGTCTTGGTCAAGAGGTATGTGCTTGCTTCCTGTCTTGCCACGTCGGTGATGGTGGCGAATCAAAATCACTCTCTCAGCAGTGCATGCTTTTGGCCAAGCCGCATCAACACTTTCAGTCAAGCCACGGGGCACTGACTTCCACGTACATCACATTTCAACCATTTTGTTTCCCAGGTTGGAGGAGATGGACTTGCCACGGGAGTTGTACGAGTGGTACCTGGATCTGCGCAAGTACGGGACAGTGCCCCATGCGGGCTTTGGTCTGGGCTTTGAAAGAATGATTCTCTTTGCCACAGGCATTGATAACATCCGAGATGCTATTCCGTTCCCTAGGTATCCAGGCCATGCTGATCTGTGACCATGGGCTCTGCCATCAACGTTCTACATGAGAAAACATAATACCGTCATCGCCCGGATATAAGACATATATGTCTTATCTCGTACACGGGCAAAAATGCTTGAGTTATCTTGTAAACGGGATGGTTTAGGGTGTCTTATAATTCTTATAAATGGAAAAAAATTTAAGTTGACTGTAACACTTGCAAAGTGTGTAGAAAACACCCAGGGACCAGATTCATTGAAACAGGCCGACCTCGGTGGTGATGCAGCAAAGCTGCCACTGGCAAGATTCCTCTGTGCTGGCAGCATCTAATGATGCTGCCAGCGTCGTTTTGCTGCCAACAGCGCATGGCAGCTTCCAGAACGCTGCTGGCAGCACGTTGGCAGCGTCAGGCTGTCCTCTACGAGGAGATGCCTCGTAGAGGAGCGGCTCGGCACCTGTGGATGGGGCACTCTGGCTGGGGGGGGTAGTCGGGCTTTCACTTCATTTGGTGCTCATGGAGGTTGAATTCTCACCTCAACCTTGCTCTCGGCAGGCTCTCTAACCATGTGCAGCAAGGTACCCCTAGGCAAGTCCTCACCTCGTCCTCACGTGCAGGTGAATAACTACGGGCGAATTAACTCGCCCGGCGATGACATCCGCGTAGCCATGGCGAAGAACGCGAGCAAGGCGGGAAGTCCTACCGCCGCCTCCGGTGCGAGCTGTGACGGGGAAGACGGAGACGAAGCACACGGCGACGACGCCGAGGAGGATTGGCCGGAGAACGGCCACGATGACAGCGCTTCGGGCGACGAATTTGGTACTGCCGACATCGAGGAGGACGAATGGTGGAATCAGCCGGTCGGGAGCGACGACGAGGTGGAAGAGTGGCGGGCTGGTGATTCCGACAACGACGGAGGTGAAGATGCTGGCGGTGACAACGCGGAGGCACAGGAAGCGGCGGTGGATGCGAATGAGGCTGCCGACGAGGCGGCGGCGGAACTCGAGACAGAGGCGCCTGCGGATGCGGACGCGGTGGCGGAGGCGAACAAGGTGGCTGCGGATGCCGTCTTATTTGAGGGTGAGGGCGACGACGACGACCCGTGGAGCCTTGGGACAGACGACGACGTTCCGCTACTGAAGCGGAGGCTGCGCCATCGCCTACAGTCCACGACGAAGCGCGCCCGCGTGGTGCTCTGTGACGACGACAGTCCCGGGGAGGAGCGTCGCCCCCTACTCACCGCTGCGGAGAAGGGAAAGGCAAAGGTCGTGGAAGCCCCTGCTAAGTCCCCTGCTAAGGCCCCTGCAAAGGCCCCTGCTCGTGGCCGCACAAGCAACAAGAAGCGCAAGGACGACGGAGACCCTGGATCTAGCAAGGGTGCGGCAAAGAAAAAGGCGAAGAAGGCGCCGAATCCTGACGACATCATCGTCAACGAGGCGTTGGGCAGCGACGATGAGTACGCGGCGGCGGCGGGCCCGATTCCCACGTTCCCTGAGAAGGAGGCGCCGAAGGACCCCACCCTCCATAATCCCAACACCCGCCCACCTTCCCCTCGCAGCAAAGACACTACGAAGAAGCGCCGCGGCTGGACCGTGCGTGAGAAGGTTAAGTGGGCGCGCCGCTATCAGGAGCTCGGCTCCTTGAAGAAGACTAGCTTGGAGTCAACCGCGAGCGTCGCCTGCATCAGACGCTGGTGCGCGGAGGCGGCTGCGGGCATCTACAAGGGCGCGGCTAACTGCCGCAAGCGGATGCACGGGGGGGGCCGCCACGCACACTACCCCGACATGGAGGCAGCGTTGTACCGCTACATCTGCCTTCAGCGCGCTAACGGGGTGGCCATCTCGGTGAAGGACACCCAAAAGTGGAGCCGCGAGTGGATGAAGAAGCATTACCCCGGCAAGAACTGGAACGCGAGCTCTCACTGGAGCCAGCGTTTCCGTGACCGCTGGAACCTGGTGATGCGGGTGAAGACGAAGGTCGGACAACGTCTGTCGGCAGGTGCGTGGATAAGGAGTTCGTGCCGCGCACGGCCCATTGTATGCATGTCTTACCTTGCTCGTTGTCTAACCGTCCCTCGCTTCTGTTCCTGTCCCGTTTGCAGAGTGCGCGAAGGACTGCGAGTCCTTCTGGAAGTTCGTGCGCATCAACAGGGCGCGGCACAACATCGACCTGGCCCGTATCATCAACGCGGACCAGACGCCACTGTTCGTGGAGATGCCGGCCGAGAGGACGATCGAGCACCGTGGCGCGCGCTCGGTCCCAATCCGCACTGCAGGCTACCAGAAGACGCGCTTGACGGTGATGCTCGCGTGCACTGCATCCGGGGAGAAGCTGCGGCCGTGGGTGTGGTTCAAGATGAAGAACGTCCCCAACTGTGAGATTCCGGACGGTAAGCGCCATGACATCAACCTTGCCCCTGCCTCATGAGCGTGCCCCACTGTGCTGATGTCCGTCTGTCCCTTGTGTGCCTGGCAGGAATCGTGGTCCAAGCACAGGACAACGGGTGGATGGACGAGAGCGCTGTGCAGACCTGGCTGTCCAAGGAGGTGCTTCCCCATCTGAACCCCCAGCGCGGCAAGAGCGCGAGGCGTGCGATGCTGGTGTTGGACTCCTACCGCGGCCACATCACCCAGACCATGCTTCAGTCGTACCGCACGCACAGCATCACCCCTGCAGTCATTCCAGCGGGTTGTACGAGCCAGATTCAACCCCTGGACGTCTCCATCAACCGGTGCTTCAAGGCTGCCGTGCGAGCGCGCTACGCCAGGTGGTTCATGCGTGAAGGGATTCACCTGAAGACGAAGAAGGGTGAGTTGGCTGTTCATTTTAAATTCCTGCTCTGTTTCGTGTCCTTATCGTTAACATCTCGCTGCCGTGTCCTCTGTCCCACCCGCAGGGAACCTGCGGAGGCCTCCGCACCCCGTGGTGCTGCAGTGGATCGCGGAGGCTTGGGATCAAGTCCCCAGGCAGATCATCATCGACGCGTTCCGCCACTGTGGGATCTCCAGCAAGCTGGACGGAACGGAGAACCACCTGGTGATGTCTCACCTGCGCGCCAGGAGCACCACCGATGTCTCCGAGGACATGTCCCTCGGGGGGACCACAGGCGACAACACGCGCCTGCTTCGGAAGGCTCCAGAGGAGGAGGAGGAAGAGGAGGAGGAGGAGGAGGAGGAGGAGGAGGAGGAGGAGGAGGAGGAGGAGGAGGAGGAGGAGGAGGAGGAGGCGATGCAGGCGGAGGGCGTGCGGGAGGTGGCCGTGGCAACTGGCCTGGAGGTGCTGTACCAGGAGACCCCCAACTACCGCGGAGCGGCGGCCGAGGCTGACCGCATGATCGAGCCAAGGGAGACGGCTAGGCATGCCTGGCGAGTGCCAGACCTGGGCGTAGAGCCTGTTGCTAGTGCTGCAGAGGAGGCGGTTACTGAGGGGGGTTAGGTAGAAGTAGGGATTCATGAATGTATGGATGTACCCCCCTAAAGTAGTGTAGGCTCGTTTAGAAGACACCCCCTGTTTATAAGAAAACCCCTAAACCCCGGTTCTGATTATAAGACATATATGTCTTATCTCGTACACACAAATAGGTGTCGTATAAAAAGGCTTGCCTGTTTATAAGAGACACCCGTATAGTAGACAACCCCTGTCTACTATTCAACACTGTCTTATATCCGGGCGATGACGGTATACTAACGTTTGCCAACGTTTTACATGTGCACCGATCATGTTCGGTGTGGTAGCAGCGGCGGAAGCACGTTTTGTGCATCTCTGCCGCCTGTGTGTTGTGTCGTGTAACCTCTCCACGTTGTATGCATGCTGTTACCATGTGTTATTTTGCAAGCTTGATTTGATGGCGTGTGAAGGTGGACAACTCTATCAGGGCAATTTCTCAAGTGAGAGCTAACATAAGGATCAAGTATCCAAGGTGCCACCAACACAAAGGTAGTGTCTCACATGTGTAGGTTGATGGTTGAAAGCTTGGGTTGCCTTGTGAGTTTTGTTCCACAACACGGGTAATCTCACAACACTTACGCTCCCGCCCAAGCGTCACCCGTTTCCTTCAATACATATTTTTTCTGCAATTCATGCATGAAAAATGCAGCAACTTCCATACTCAAAGAGTACCGTAGCATATAACTAAACAGCTATACTGTTTAGTTGTTATTTAGGATATATGCGCATATACTTGATGGGTCATGGCGCTACATTACATCATCGCGTCGTCGTGTCAGAAGCATTCTTCTGACAGACGATTACCGCGCGAACGGCGGACTTGCGGGGCCGCCGTGCTGCGGAGGATTTTTACTGTAAAACTCAATCTGATATTTCGCGAAACGTAGATAACGAAATGGTATCCCCGTCGTCAACGCTCTCACGAATTTGCCGCCTTCTGCCGATGGTGCGGCGCCCTCCACCCAAGCAGGAGAAATGGATCTTCGTTCCTGTGAATCGTGTGTTACCACTCTAAATCCGTCTAGATCCCCTGGATTTTACCTCTGAACATGGTTTCTTTCAGTGATGCTCGCTCACCTTCTGCAGTCCATACTCCAGCTTCCTTAAATGCCATTCCTCCTAACCTAGTCACAGCAGTTCACTCCGATCTCGAGGATTAGCTTGCTAAGCCGAAATCCATGGCGGTCGCGATATTGTATCGAACCATTTATGGTTCTCACTCGTATCCTTAGTCGTCGTAATATTCAGATACGTTTATCTCAAGGTCGTCAATACGGAAATTACTAATCGTTGCAATTCATGGCTGACGCGAACCAGTAACCTTTTAACCTTAGTCGTAGTCATCGTTAAGAAGTAAACCGAGCTTTACGTCTGATTATCGGACAGTGACATTCGAAGCTTAGAAATTGTAGTCATTCGGAGCAGTTTCATTTCCGCCAACCAGCAATTACTCTCTTGACTGCAGTTCCTATTTCAAATCATTCCAGTATTCAGAACAACTTAGTTCAAGTATTGTAGACATCTGACGAGAGGGGGTTTGCCGAGATCGCTTCGTAAATCTTCTTCCTATCCCCATACGCTTTTTTAAGTACCGAGGCGACGCCGCTCTTCACCAGCGAGAACGTTTCGATTTGGTGATGACCGAGGCTGATATCCTGCTGGCGACAGCTGTTTTACACGGCGGATGATTGTACGACGTACAGCAATGAATACTTCGGACTTCGAAAAGCGAGACGTCGCCAATGGTGATTGAGCGGATGTCTCCTGACGGTGACGAACGACACAGTTACTTCCAACAACGGTTAGCGACTGCCGCTTATGAAGGTGGCGATAAAAAAGACGATGACTGACGCTGACGACCGAACCGACGATTTCTGACGGTGACGATCGAGATGGTGACTTCTAACGGTGACGATTGAAGTGCCGCGTTCCAACGGTAACGAGCAGGGCGGCGATTTTTAGCATCGACAATTAAAGTGACTCTTTTCGAAGATGACGACTAGGATTGCGATACCTCAAAGTAACTATCAAATCGACGGTTCCCGATGGAGACGATTGAAGTGACGATTTCCGTCGGTGAAGCTGAGGATTGATCAGGAATTCTTACGGTGACGATCAACGCGACGCTTTCCAAAGGTGACGATCAAGATGGTGACTTATCGTGGTGACGACTGAAGCGACACTTACCGACGCTGACTATCGAGATGTTGATATCTCACGGTGACGATCTAAACGGTGGCCGTAACAGAGGCGAATGCGACGGTGGTCGAAATGACACCAACAGCAACGAGTGACTCTCATTCAGAGATGCAATACAAGCAGCAGAATGGATACTGCTGCTGACTGGGACGATGACTGCCTCGCTGCTTCAAGCTCTCCAATACGGCTAAGTCCCCTCTCACTCTGCCCTTGTCATCATTACCGCTTCTGCTTCGCCCTTGTCCTCTTTGTACCGCGCTTATTCCTCACAGCATATTTGAAAAAAACTAAAGTTGAATGAGAGATGAGCGTGGCGATGGTAGCGCATGGCATTGGGGCGGCTTGAGCTCATACTAGAGTCGTAGGGGGCTAGAGTAGAATGCATTCATAATCATGCTGCGTCCCTTCCAAATTTGCCAGCTAGCTCGGCGCCCTAGTGCTGTGTGCTACCATCGCCTCCCCTTTCACAGCATCACAGTGCCACGTGCTTTTTATCTTCAACTTTCGTTTCCTCTACTCATCGTTCTTGTTATCTCTGCCCCCTTGCATGCATTTCACTACTTCCATGCTTCTACTGACTACTTGGGTCCCTTTCCGCTGCTCTGTTTTCTTGCTCTCCTTCCCATCTCGTCTGGTGCTATGGCAGCGTGGTGCGGGGAGGTGGGATGACGCACGGCAGGCAGTCACAGCGGTGTGCGAGCCTCCTGGAAGCCTGACGCCACTGTCCTGCAAGCACCCCCATACGGATAAGTTCCCTCTCCCTTCGCCCTTGCCATCCTTACCCGCTTCTGCTTCGTGTTTATCATTGCCCACTTTTGTACCGCATTCTTCCGTTACCGCGTGCTCGAAACAAATGAGCCCATTTTCGAATGGGAGCGATGAAAAGTTGAGTGAGAGATGAGCGGCGTTTGGCGATGGAAGCGCATGGCACTGGGGCGGCTTGAGCTCATACTAGAGTCGTAGGGGGCTAGAGTAGAATGCATTCATAATCATGCTGCGTCCCTTCCAAATTTGCCTGCTAGCTCGGCGCCCTAGTGCTGTGTGCTACCATCGCCTCCCCTTTCACAGCGTCACAGTGCCACATGCTTTTTATCTTCAACTTCGTTTCCTCTACTCATCTTTCTTGTTATCTCTGCCACCTTGCATGCATTTCACTACTTTCATGCTTCTACAGACTACTTGGGTCCCTTTCCGCTGCTCTGTTCTCTTGCTCTCCTTCCCATCTCGTCCGGTGCTATGGCAGCGTGGTGCGGGAAGGGAGGGCGGTGGGATGACGCACGGCCGGCAGTCACAGCGGTGTGCGAGCCTCCTGGAAGCCTGACGCCACTGTCCTGCAAGCACCCCCATACGGCTAAGTTCCCTCTCCCTTCGCCCTTGCCATCCGTACCGCTTCTGCTTCGTGTTTATCATTGCCCAATTTTGTACCGCATTCTTCCGTCACCGCGTGCTCGAAACAAATGAGCTCAATTTCGAATGGGAGCGTTGAAAAGTTGAGTGAGGGATGAGCGGCGTTTGGCGATGGTAGCGCATGGCACTGGGGCGGCTTGAGCTCATACTAGAGTCGTAGGGGGTTAGAGTAGAATGCATTCATAATCATGCTGCGTCCCTTCCAAATTTGCCTGCTAGCTCGGCGCCCTAGTGCTGTGTGCTACCATCGCCTCCCCTTTCACAGCGTCACAGTGCCACGTGCTTTTTATCTTCAACTTCGTTTCCTCTACTCATCGTTCTTGTTATCTCTGCCCCCTTGCATGCATTTCACTACTTACAAGCTTCTTCTGCTGACTACTTGGGTCCCTTTCCCCTGCTCTGTTTTCTTGCTCTCCTTCCCATCTCGTCCGGTGCTATGGCAGCGTGGTGCGGGGAGGGAGGGCGGTGGGATGACGCACGGCAGGCAGTCACAGCGGCATGCGAGCCTCCTGGAAGCCTGACGCCACTGTCCTGCAAGCACCCCCATACGGCTAAGTTCCCTCTCCCTTCGCCCTTGCCATCCTTACCCGCTTCTGCTTTGTGTTTATCATTGCCCACTTTTGTACCGCATTCTTCCGTCACCGCGTGCTCGAAACAAATGAGCCCATTTTCGAATGGGAGCGTTGAAAAGTTGAGTGAGGGATGAGCGGCGTTTGGCGATGGTAGCGCATGGCACTGGGGCGGCTTGAGCTCATACTAGAGTCGCAGGGGGTTAGAGTAGAATGCATTCATAATCATGCTGCGTCCCTTCCAAATTTGCCTGCTAGCTCGGCGCCCTAGTGCTGTGTGCTACCATCGCCTCCCCTTTCACAGCGTCACAGTGCCACGTGCTTTTTATCTTCAACTTCGTTTCCTCTACTCATCGTTCTTGTTATCTCTGCCACCTTGCATGCATTTCACTACTTACATGCTTCTTCTGCTGACTACTTGGGTCCCTTTCCCCTGCTCTGTTTTCTTGCTCTCCTTCCCATCTCGTCCGGTGCTATGGCAGCGTGGTGCAGGGAGGGAGGGCGGTGGGATGACGCACGGCAGGCAGTCACAGCGGCATGCGAGCCTCCTGGAAGCCTGACGCCACTGTCCTGCAAGCACCCCCATACGGCTAAGTTCCCTCTCCCTTCGCCCTTGCCATCCTTACCCGCTTCTGCTTCGTGTTTATCATTGCCCACTTTTGTACCGCATTCTTCCGTCACCGCGTGCTCGAAACAAATGAGCCCATTTTCGAACGAAGCGATGAAAAGTTGAGTGAGAGATGAGCGGCGTTTGGCGATGGTAGCGCATGGCACTGGGGCGGCTTGAGCTCATACTAGAGTCGTAGGGGGTTA